AGGAGGTCGGGGGTTGGGTCCCTGCTATGTGCACGTAGGTGTGAGCACCTCCCTTTCTCCGAGGAGACCCCTTCCTGTGCCGGAGCCCAGGGGAGCGGGCTGCTTGTCGGTGCTGCTGCCGTCCTCCCCACCCCCACCTCCACCTCCACCTCCGGTCACTTCCCCTGCGAGACCTGACCTCCTGAGTTTGGGGCTTTATGGCCCCTGGAAGCCTGGTCCGAGTCTCTGGGGTGACTGGGCAGCCCCTTTGCTTACATGGTTTTCCCGGACTGGTTCTGAGCCGGTCCGGTTAGAAATGCCAGGCGTGGCGGACTAAGAGGCCCCTCTTCGGGGCAGGGCCCGCTGGGTGCAGCTGCGCTGCTGGGACCGGCCTCCACTTGTCAAGTGCTGCTTCCTCCTCGCTGCTTCCCCTGGTGCCCAGCAGAGTGGCTTTCACGCAGCCTGCCTTTGCAGCCCTCGCCGGTCCTCCCGGTTAAGGGCGTTGCTCCTTTGCTGCTCGGGTGCAGCCCTGTCTGACTTACCTAGAGGACTCCTGGGTGTCCTGTGGGCCTTCCAGGTCTCTCTTTATCCTGTTTTCTCAGCGACTGTCCCTGGTTTGGGGATGATGTAGTTCAGGGGTCCCTCTTCAGGCCTCCCATGTTTCCGCCTTTCCTTGAGCTTCTTCCCAAAGCTGCCTGCAAAACCCCCCACCCGCCCCCCCTCCTCTGAGGGTGCCAAGCTTCCTCTTTCCTCCTAACCCAGTGGTCGGCAAACTGCGGCTCGCCAGTCACATTTGGCTCTTTGGCCCCTTCAGTGTGGCCACGAAGTTTCAATCGCACTGTACATGCGTGCCCGCACGTGGTATTTTGTGGAAGAGCCACACTCAAGGGGCCGCAGTTTGCCGACCGCTGTCCTAACCAATCAGAGCCCATCCATCTCACCAGCCTCCTCCCCACACCTGGGCTCCAGTGGCTGTGCCCCGGCCTCTGCCATCATTGTCAGCAGACACTGTGTGGCAAGTCCCCACTCACTGAAATCGCTTCCCTGTTGTAGCCCTGCAGCGACTGCCGTTGCTCATTCAGGAAAGCCCAGACTCCACACCTGGCTGACAGGCCCTGACTGCCCAGCTGCTCACCGTCACTCCCAGGGCCCTTCCTCTTTTCTCTTCCTCAGACTTGCAGGCTGATCCGTCCTCAGAGCCCTTACTGTGGCTGCCTCTTCTGCTGGGAGTGCCCCCCTTCTACATCATCCCAGGGCCCCCCCCCCCCCAAAGTTGTTCTCACAGCTCCCCAGTGGCCTTTTTGCAGGGGCCTCGGCCCCTGGCTGTGGTCCCGTTTTCCCAACTTCTCCAGACCCATTTGGTCTTGTGTTGCCTTTCTCTTTTCCAGAAGCAGCATGGTGGGCCCTGTCTGTCCCTGGTGCAGGGCTGTGGTGTGTGGTCAGTGCTCAGAAGAAGGGTGGAATGAGGGAGACAGGAAAGATGGTATCAGAGCAAGAAGAGGTGGTCTCTGATGTGGTTCGCAGCGCTGAGTGATCCTGGGCCAGGCCCTGAGGCCTGTGGGGACATCAGCTCTGCACCTTGGCTCTTTCTCTTGGTTCTCCCTGGTCATTCTTCCCTAGATCACAGCCTGGGTCAGCTCCTGCACCTCCTCCGCCTGGCAGTGCTCGTGTTGCTGTGTGTCCCTCTCGGAGGCTTTCTTGTGGCTGCATTCCCATCACCAGCAGGCAGCAGGTTCTCAGTGTGTTTGGAAGGAATGACTGGATTATAAAGTGTCCAGTGCCCCATGCTTCATGTGCCGTGAACAGGCCAGGAACCCCTCTTTTCATGTTCATCAGAAAGAAGGGGGGACTTGAGGAAATGTGGGAATGAGCCTCTGAACTGGAACATCCAAGAATGGCTAAGGCTGGAGCCCAGGGTAGAAAGGAGAGAGGCCAGAGGATGGGGGCAGGCACGGAGCGTGGCTCTTGGGAGCTGCTGTGTCCCTTCTTGGAAGAGCCCGGCTGGGCGGCCATCACTGTACCTGCTGCTGGTCTGTGCTCCTGACTTCTGTGGCCTTCAGGGGGAATAGCGTTCTCTCCTCCGTTGGGGAGAGGACATGCTAGACCGGGTTTCCCCATCGACTCGCTGTCCGACAGCACGGCCTGGAGCTGGGCTCCTGCAGAGTTGGTGCTGGTGGCTGCATTACCGGAAAGCCACCTCTTCCAGAATGTTCTCTGGGAGGTCTACCACCTGCCAGGTCTTCTTTGTCCCTCTTTCTCTCCTTCCATATTCTCTCTCCTCTCCTCGGAAACTTTGTTCCTTCCTGGCAGCGTGTCCTCCCTGTCAACCAGATCCCCTGGGCCTGGATCGAATTTCGTTTCCTCCGAATTTCTTGGGTCGAGGCAGCTCTGCCCAGTGGTGTTAGCAAGGCCGTGGGGAGCCGAGCAGGGGCTGACTTGGTTCCCGTCAGACTGATTGCCATGGATCCTGGTCTGTCGGCTGGCTCAGCAGGCCTGTGCTCTGGCAAGGAGCCTCCCATATGTATCCCTCATTTAGTAAAATTTACCTTATTTCCTAAACACCTCTGGGGCACATGTTTTTAAGCCCAAATCTCTTCCAGAGTTCTTATGAATCATTAGTCTTACAGGATGAAGAGTGGTGTAGGCTGGGTCACCTGTGCAGAGGGAAGACTCTGGTTGGTCTAGATCAGGATTTTAAAAATGTGATTCTAATGTGCAGCCAAGGTTGAGAACCACTGGTCTAGATCTTGCCCCCACAAGGAGCCTGTCCCCTGAGGACCAGGTGCCATGCTGAGTCATGACCCCTGTGGTTTCTGGTGTTGCACATTTTTGGGGGGGGGGAGGGGGGTCACGACCTAGACAGACCTGCTGCACCAGCCTGCAGGCCCCAAAAGATGGCAGACGTGCCCAGGGGGCAGCACCCTCCCAGGGGCCTGGTGCCAATCCCTCCTTCCTGCTTCTCCTTTGTGCTTTGGGTTCAGGAATGTGCAGGTGTCTTTGTCTTTTCAAATTCACACACCTGGCAGCCAGGCGAGTATTTCACGCGTGCATGTGCAAAAAGTGGCCATAACATCTTAGGCTCAGCCTTCCTCAGGGTGGATGTATGCTCCCGTCTTCGGTCCGTCGCTCACACGCCCCTATGGTCAGGCAGGCCAGCATCGTTGCAGCTTCAGAGCTGAGAAGGCCACACTTCGGCAGGCACAGTGGGTCACGGTGGGGCCGGTGCTGGCCCACAGAGACGGCCATGCTGAGCCGTCAGGGATGACGGCAGACAGTGCCCTAGGTGCTGGCTACAGGGCCCCCTGCTTTGTTTCAGGGCTCTGTTTACCTACGAAGGCAACAGCAATGACATCCGTGTGGCTGGCACTGGGGGTGAGTATGGCCAGGGGGATCCAGGGGCTCCGGAAGGGAGGGTGAGGGGGTGGAGGGAGAGTGGCTGTCAGGGCCCCAGCTCCAGTGGCATCTAAGCCCTCCCAGCAGCAGGAGGGCTTGGGCAGGCAGTGCTGAGGAGTTCTCTGGGCCCTGATCAGGCAGGATGGGGGGGGGGGGGCACACCAGGGCTGCTGAGTAAAAGTAAGCCCTCCTCCATGTTCTTGGCCTGAGGTGCCAGGCAGGGCTGCCCTGTGTTGTAGCTGGGAGAGCTCACGGTGGCCTGGGCTGGAGGGGGAGGAGGAAGAGCAGACGCACTTTTCCCTCCGCCCCATCTGATGGTTGCCTGTCTGCAGGCACTCCCCCAGCAACAGTGCCCATGCTCAGCTGGGACGGGGTGACCTGGGCGATACTGCTGGCATGCGTGTCCGCGGGCGTTCTTATAAGGAGGTCTCCCCTGGCCAGAGTTGGTGGGGGCGGGGCAAGCTGCAGCCCCCGGAGGTGCCTGGCTTCGTGTGCTCGAGGCCAGCTCCCCGACCTGGGCCAGGCACAGCTTTGCCCCCAGCGGCTGGTTCTGAGGATTTGTTGGTAGAGAGCCCTCCCTCTCTCCAGCACCTTCCCCACGGCCCTCTTTCCAGAAGGACTGCCACTGCGGTGGCCTCATGCGGTGGGACGCCCGTGGTGCTGGGATGCCACGGGCGACAGTTGCAGGGTTTAGCAGTTGACCCCCTCTTCACAATTTGGGGAGGTGTGCAAGGCAGGTGAGAGCCACAAACCCTAGCACATGGTGGGCCTCGGTCTCGGGGTCCAGAGAGAACGTCTTGGGCAGCCCTTCCTGCCCCGTCACTTCCTGTGAGCATCTAAGAACTGAGCCCTGAGGCTCGGTCCTGTCTGCTCACAGCCCTCCAAGGTGGCCCTGTAGTCTGAGCAGCCACATGGGCAGGGCCCTTTGTGGGGTCCAGGAAAGAAGGGAGGTACCGGGAGAGAGAAACATTGACATGAGAGAGACACATCGATGGGTTGCCTCCTGTACACACCCTGACCAGGCCTGCGGATTGAACCTGCTACACAGGTACATGCCCTTGACCAGGAATCAGATATGTGACCATTCAGTGCACAGGCTGACACTCCAACTGCTGAGCCACACCAACCAGGGCTCATTTCTATTTTACAAAATGGTGTTTACACTAGTGCGATAAAAGTCACCAGAGTTTCGTCAGCACAGTCCTGCATCAGCCGGCGCGCCCTTCAGGCCAGGATCTTACTCTGATGCAGGAGGCAGCTTGGGCTTCCTTTCCTGAGGACTGGGGTGCTGGGTGGGCGGGGTGCCTGCTGCCTGTGACCCTCCTGTGACTGCTGCAGAGGGGGGCCTGGAGGAGGTGGTGGAGGAGCTCAACAGCGGGAAGGTGATGTACGCGTTCTGCAGGGTGAAGGACCCCAACTCTGGCCTGCCCAAGTTTGTCCTCATCAACTGGGTATGTGAAACCTGGGGCTCAGGTCCCATCTAGGTGTGACCAGGCAGCTCTCTTGCCCTCCCGCCCTGAGTGATTGGAGCAGAGGAGAGTTCACAGCCGGAGGGCTGGTTCACTGTGGCCCAGAGAGGGCCCAGAAATACCCCTGCAGAGTGAAGTACCAGCAACCACAGGACACCCTGTTCCCGTCCCCTGGGAGCTGAGGGCTTGGAGAAAGGCCGGGGGGCTCTGATAGTGCAGGGCGGGCTGGTGGGGACAAGGATTTTCAATGCCCCATAGTGGAAGCTGCCCAGCAACCTGCCGAGTCCCTAGGAGGGCAGTGGCTTTAGGGCATGGGTAGGTCATGCTGGGTGCGTTGTGTTGCAGACAGGCGAGGGCGTGAACGATGTGCGGAAGGGGGTGTGTGCCAACCACGTCAGCACCATGGCCGGCTTCCTGAAGGTGAGGCTGTCCCTGCAGGGCCTGTTCCTCAGCCCGTGTGCGTGGAGGGAGCGCTGGGACCCACAGTCAGAATGGAGGTGTGCCCCACGTCCTGCTCTGTCTGGGCCTCGGGGTGACGGAGGCTGCTCAGCGAGTGTGCAGAGGGGCGGGGGGATGGCTTCAGGGGAGGCGGGGCCAAGGACTACGAGGACCGTGCGGGCGGGAGCTGGTCCTGGCAGGCCTTGCTCCTGCCGGCCTCCTGAGTGCTGTGAACAGGACCCCGCCATGATGCTGGGATTTGAGGAGGCAGGGGATTGCCGTGCCCACACATGTCCCCTCGATGCACTGGTTCCCATCCGTTTCTGCATGTCAGTCATAAATGGAACCTTGTGTGGTTTCAAAAGCATTTGTTTTTGAGGGTCAGGTGACTGCATTTCCTTGGTCACTAGCAAGGAGACCTGGAACTTCGATTTCCAGTTCTGCCAACACTTCCTCAGATGTGCCTCCATTTCTCCAGCGAGGAGCTGGAAGAGAGGGTCACTGGGTGTTTGGTGACAGGCAGAGGCCATAGCTGGCTCCTCCGCAGTCAGTGGCTCGTGTAGATGATGTGTGCTGGCTTCTACACGTCTGTCAGGGCTGGTGTCACTGATGAGAAAGAACCCTCTGATGCCTGAGCCATCTGCTCAAGGCAGAGCCACAGGACACACTTCAGACACGAGGACCTCACGCACAAGCAAGACAGGGGTCCTAACCTGCAGGCAGGCATGTGGTCTTTCGTGGAACTGCAGCAACTGTTCTCACTGCAGGGCGCCCACGTGACCATCAATGCGAGGGCCGAGGAGGACGTGGAGCCTGAGTGTATCATGCAGAAGGTGGCCAGGGCCTCGGGTGCCAACTACACTTTCCACAGGGAGAGTAGCCGCTTCCAGGACATGGGCCCGCAGGCCCCAGTGGTGAGTGGAGCTGGGGCCATGGGTGGGGGGCATTCCCAGCGACCAGACGGCTGCCTCGACCTCGGCACCTGATCCCTCGGGTTGTCTCCTGCCTGCCTGATCTCAAGGCCACAGCACCAGTGTGTCCTGTGTGGTGGCTGCCATGGGGGAACAAGTGGCAGACAGGGCAGGCCCCTCCTAGTCGGGGCAGACTCCTGTGGGGCTGTGGCCTTGGTGCTAGGTGGAGAGCCGAGACCCCTGACAGTAAGCAGGGATCCATAGGGATGTGGTAAGCGCTGCCATGGTGATCAGCTGTCTGCAGCTGGGGGGCCATCCTCCTAGGAATGGCTCCTGGCTAGAGTTAAGCCCTAGACCTGCCCTGGCTTTACCCTCAGGGCCTGGCACAGCCAGAGACCCACCCTGCTGTGTGGGCTGCACCTCCCTGCTCAGCAGTGTCCAAGGCCTTCAGGCCAACTGCTATCGGCCTCCTTCGGGCCCTGGGCTGGGGACACTGCATCTGCCGGGCGCCGTCCTGACAGTCCCTGCCTGGGCCCTGCGCTCTGTCCCCGTCCCCGCAGGGCTCCGTGTACCAGAAGACAAATGCCGTGTCAGAGATCAAGAGGTTCGGCAAAGACAGCTTCTGGGCCAAAGCAGGGGTGAGTGCTGCCAGCGCAACAATGATTGCGGGCATTTGTGGAGCGCCCTGTGTGCGCCAGGCATGGAATAAGCACGTCACTCTCTCCCTGCCAGTTTTCTCATAACGAGCTCCTGGAATAACCCGTGGGCACAGACAGTAGTGTGGTGAAGGCTGGGGGCGGGGGGGGGGGGCGTTGTGGAGAGGAGGGGACAAAGGGGGGACGTCTGTAATACTTTGAACAATAAAGATAAAATTAAACGAAAAACTGGTGCGATGTTCTCGTCCATGCTAACCCCAGGGGTTAGCGGGTTAAGTGAGGAGGCTAGAGTTGCGCTGGGTTGGGCTGAGCACGCTCCCTGCAGGAGGAGGAGGAGCAGCGGCGGGCCCAGGAGAAGCGGCGGGCGGAGCAGGAGCGGCAGCAGCTGGAGCAGGAGCGCCGGGAGCGGGAGCTGCGGGAGGCCGCCCTCCGGGAGCAGCGCTACCGGGAGCAGGGCCAGGAGGCCAGGCAGAGGTGAGCCCCGGGGAGATGGGGCTGCCCGTGGTCAGCAGGCAGAGGCTCAGCACTGCCCTCTGCCCTCCCAGCAGGAAATCTGAGCAGCAGGAAGTGGTTTCGAGGAGCAGAGAGGAACAGGTGAGGGGTGCTCACACCGGAGGGCCCGTCCCGCACTGGGTGGAGGCCGCCCGCTGCGAGCTGCCCTGCAGGTGGGAACCTGGGATGTGTGGGCGTACCTCACCCCGTCCCGGGGAGGCGGTGAGCCCCAGCACTGTGGGAGGTGGGCAGGCTCACAGTTCCCGCTCACCCTGGGGCTGTGCGTGCCCCCAGGAGCCTGGTCAGCAGTCACCTCGGGAGATGTTCATGCAGAAGGAGAGAGCCGTGTCCACCGCGTCCACCTCCAGCCCCCAGCCAGGTGAGAGTTCTCTGTGCCTGGCCCTGTCCTGAGCAGGGCGAGGTGAGGGACACGTAGGGACGAGTGAACCAGGAACAACTGTGCGTGAGGACAGGATCTGCCCTGACCTCCTGCAGAGCCAGACCTGGAGGAGAGGATGGGGGCCTCCAGCCCCGGCCCCATAAGCCCTGGGAGAGATCACACTTGGCTGTCAAGCTGGGTCCCAGGGGCCCACAGCAGTCACCTCTATGGTACCCAAAGGACACAGGCCTAGTCCTCCAGCCAGCTCTCCCGCACTGCGCATGCCCCCAGGGGCTGCAGAGATAGAGAGTCCCCGTTCAGTCCCGGTGGGTGAGCAGGGTCCAGAGAGATCAGGGCTGTGTTCTCCCTGCCTCTGTGAGTCCTGTTCACTGTCGATTTGCAGGCAAACTGCGGAGCCCCTTCCTGCAGAGGCAGCTCCCCCAGCCAGAGAGCCCCCTCAGTCGGGAGAGGGCTCACGCCGCCTCAAGGCCCAGCACAGGCAAGGCTCTCGGCCATCCTGGGGGTTGGGGTGGGGACAGACGGGGTGTCCTCTCCCTCCCCAGGGTCCAAGCCGGCTGCACTGCCCTTGCAGGTGTCTGTGAGGAGCCTGCACCCAGTGCCCCTGAGTGCCTGGTGCAGGCGGAGGAGGAGGCCATGTACGAGGAGCCCCCAGAGCAGGAGACCCTCTACGAGGAGCCCCCCATGGTGGGTTCCCTGCACCTGGGTCAGGGCTGCGAGGACCTGGGCCCTGAGACAGCCTCCCTAGCCACACCTGGGAGCTCACTACCTTAAATTTGGAGCCGCTTGTGCGATGATAAGCTGGGTGGCAAGCACCACTGGGTGGGAGGTTCTGGGTGGGGAGCACTGCGAGGTCCCCGAGGCCTGGCCTGGGGCACAGCCGAGGGAGCCAGGACCCAGACTTCTTTCTGGTCCGCACAGGGGGAGCAGCAGGACCCTGGCTCTGTGCGTGTGGACCACTACCCCGGACTGAGCGGGAAGGGCCTCTGTGCCCGGGCCCTGTACGACTACCAGGCAGGTACTGTGCCAACCCACCCCCGGCCACAGGTTCCTCAGGGGGGCAGCCCTAGGGGTGTCAGAAGACTGGAGGGCGAGAGAGGAGCAGGCCTCTCTGTGGGTCCTAGGCAGCTCTTCATCCACAGTGTGATTCCCCTGTGCCTGCCTCGTTGTAGAGCCTGAAGGTGTGACTGAGAGGTGGCTCTGGGGGTGGCCTTGGTGCGGGAGGAAGTGCTGTCTCCAGCCTTTGGCTGGGACGGGCCCAGAGCCAGGCCCTAGGGGATGGTGTG